TCCTCAAGAGGTCTGTTTTAGTGTTCAGGATTCCTTCCCGCTTTCCATAAAGAATCAGAGGCTGAAATACACTAGCAAGTCATGACTAGAGTATTGAATCAATGAAACTTTCAGAGGAGCTGATTCACCAAATCCCCAATGATTTGCGGAGCCTACTCTAGTTGCAACTCACTACTGGATTTCAGCCACAGAAGTGCCGAGGCAGGAGGTATCCCAATCATCATGGAAACCAACCTCCTGCCACAGCAGGAAAGCAATAGTTACAAAATCTCCAGTAACCAGTTGTAAAGACTCTGCTTAAAAACCTCCAGTGCAGACTTCACCAGCATCTGACAGCAGTTCACTCCATTGCTGAACAGCATTTACTGTCAGGAAGGTTTTCTTAAAGTTTCTTTCTTCACACAGATAATTTTGTGTGTGTTTTGCCAAGAGGGGTACTCAGTCATCCTGAACCAGTTTGCCTCTTTACTTCCTCAGTATATAACGAAAAAGGCGGCTCTAATGGCACAGGCAATGAGTAGAGTTTGGGAAAATTGCTTTTCCAGAGATCAGCTTCCAGAATTCCCCAACCAACACGACTATATTAGCTAGGAGAATTTAGGCTTCATAGTACATATAAATTTTCAAAGCTTAGAGAATGAGCTTGGAAACTCTCCATCCCACCCATGCCAAATCAGCTACTGTGTTTCCCCAAAAATAAGACAGCATCTTATATTCATTTTTGCTCCAAAAATGCATTAGGGTTTAGTTTCAGGGGATTTTTTTTTTCATGTATGACAATCTACATTTGTCATATAGATTGTCATACAGTCATGTCATCTTCTTCTGGTTGCTGCACAATGGTGGAGGGCAGGGTTTCACTTAACTTAAAGCAGGGTGACTGCCACAGGCTTATATTACAAGGATCCTGAAAAATCATACTAGGGCTTATTTTCAGGTTAGGTCTTATTTTGGGGGGAAACAGGATATACTCTATCCTTCTTTTGAAATGTGTAGCTCTACAGTCCTCTTTTCACACCTATAATCTCTGTCACCAACTTTCCAACTGCTGCTCCATGTGCACAAGCACACCAGCAGGAACACACCTGAGATTCAGGGCCAGCAGAAAGGTCCAGTAAGAAATATACCTGCAAAAATTGGGACTAATGGAAGGAAAGCAAAACAAAGAGTAAAGAAGATGTTTTTACAACTTTCTTCATATCCTGCAGGTCCCAAGAAGAGGAGGCAATCCTGACATTTAAGGGGAAGAAACAAATTTGGGATGGAGATAGGAGAGAAATGCAAGTCCCCCAAATGCAATGGTGGATTTGTGTCAAAAGCTGGAACAAGGAGCTAAGCTCCTTCTATGAGGTGAAAGAAAGGAGCAAGTATCTCTGGTGATACTTAAAATAAATTATCCATATAGTATATAGCTAAAAGCTTTTAGGATAAAAGAACTGCTTTGTTTGACAACATGGAGAAATTAACAAGTGAACCCATACAATAACTCAGGTATAAGTATATAAAAAGGAACCTTTCCCACCCTCAAACTTGGATTTAGCAGGCAGAGCTCTTGAAGAAATGGGATGCAAGTTTAAATAACAGGCACAATCTGACAGCTGACAAAAGCCAGAGACACTCCCTTTAAATCATTTCATTCTGTGAAAGAAGAGCAGATGAAACATTCTCTCTCTGTGTCTGTCAAAACTCAGAAAACAATGCAATATTCTACGTAAAAATTTAAATGATAAAAACAGTGAATGCAATCTGGTGACCAAGTGTCCACACTCTATGCAAAAGCAACTCAATGCCTCTCAGAACAAATGCAACTGTTTACCAATTTTGCTTAATTCTGCTTTAAATATTTAGGTGAAGATTAAGGAGGTTTCTGTTTGCATGCAAAATGTAGTTGCCTGTTCATGGGCTAGCTGTTGAACAATGTGCTCCACATCATCAAATGCTGCTCAGGAATGTCCCTCAACTATTTGGGGGTGTCTTTCCAAGTTCTAGTGAGGTGAAATGGAAAATTCTCTACAATTTGTTTTCTAAAATGGAAAAAATTTGAATTTTAGCAAGTCATTACTTCACAACATTCAGTGACAATCATAGAACTTGATCTAATAGTCACACTGGGCAGCTGGTCAAATTTAAGATCAAAGTTGTTAATTAAATAAATGTACGTGCAGCTTTTAGCCTTGCGGCTGTCAGTATGTTAGCAGTTGCCACCGTTTTCCTCTTTTTCTCTCTCAAAATGTAATCTAAATAATGCAAGGAAAGCAAAAGCTGTCATGTCTCAAAATGCTTACAAGTGCTCCAATAAAAAATAATCTCCAAGCAAGGCTTGCCATTTCCTTGAATATAAAATTTAAGCCACATGAGGTGCAGTTTCTTGCAAATTTTCATAATGAAATATTTCAGTTCAGCTTGTTTGGGTTCTTATAAAAACATTTCAAATCTGTATACGGAACACTTGTTATGTCTTGTTTCCTAACTATACACCAAACAAACATGCTAAATTAGACCACCACAGATTTAGTGTACTGGGATATTTTCCAATTCAAAATTTTCCAGAAAACACACTTAAAGGGAGAAATGGAAAAAGGCCTCAGTGTGCACAATAGATGTGTAATGCTCTGGATCACAGTCGTAGTATTGTTATTTTAAAATAATTGAAATGCCCTCATACAAAGATATGTGAAGGAAGGAGACCTACTATTAGGCTGAAAACACAAATAAGCTTTCATGCAAGTTACATAAAAAGAAGTTTTCTGCTTATAGACTGGAAACAACTAATATAAGTTTCCTTAGAAACCAAAAATAACTTCTGGGCACCTGTGCTTCTTCATTCCTCTCCCCCCAAAAAATAAAATATGAGCAACTTGGATTGCAAAGTGAGATTGTAATAATGCAAGGGATGTTTTTAATGTGAACACCTTGAACTGAATAACCAGGCTCTCTGTACACTCAGGTTTACCTATCAGTTGTTTGGGGCAAACATCATACAGCTATTGACGAGCAAAAGGGCAAGATGGGAGAGGGCAAACTCATCTATTTACATAGTTGGGCAGGGGGTGAGTCACACAGATAAAGAGGAAAGAAGTCAGAAAACAAAAAAAGCTGGGGCTGAATATGAATCAGCCCCTAGCGATCCAGAAAGCGGAGGCAAAAGCTAGCATTCTTTGGACCCGATTAAAACAGCCCTACTGCCTCACTGCCCTGTGGGATGTGTCCCTGAACATCATTGTGGCAAGAACTTACAAGGCACCACTCACCTACCCCTTACCTGAATACCCTAGTAGGGGATCTGGGCACTGCCGGTTAAGCAGTCTGGGCTAGAAAAGAAAGGGCCCAAGACCATCACCGTCACAAGTGGACAGAAATCTATGTGAATGAATGCTACTCATAAATCTGCTAGCTTTTGTCGTTTCTGCTACAACCACCCCATTCTGTCATTTGTCTGTCACCTTTGTACCCCCTCCTCTTCCTCCAGAGAACTCAAGGCAGCAAGTGGGATTGTCGTGTGAGGTAGGTCCAGCAAAAAGAGAATGACACATACAGAATCTCCTCGTGATCTTCAACTAGGGTTTTAAAGCAGGTCTTTCAACCCCTGTCCAAAACTCTAACCACTACCCCACAGCAAACTACCGTTATATAAATTTTTGTTCTTGTCTAAATAAGTACTGTACAGTGGTGCCCCGCATAGCGAGGTTAATCCGTTCCGGATTAACCTTCGCTATGCGAAAACATCGCTATACGGGGCAGGAAAAGCCTATTGGAACGCATTAAACTTAGTTTAATGCGTTCCAATAGGTGCCAAAACTTACCCCTCCAGCGATGTTTCCGTGGTCCGGCGGCCATTTTGGAGCCGCCGATCAGCTGATCGGCAGCTCCAAAATGGCTGCCGGATGACCCGAAATGGCCGCGGATGGCCCGAAATGCCCCCCCGCAGCGTTTTCGCGACCTCCGTAAGCAAGGGGAGGGCGCGAAACGCCCCAATCGTCGCAAAGCGAGTGCGGCGATTGGGGCAGCTCCGTATAGCGATCCCCAAAAAGGGATCGCTATACGGATTCTTCGTTATACGGTGCGCTCGTTAAGCGAGGCACCACTGTAATGTCTTCCTCCTCTAACTCAACATTTTGCCCACTTCAAGAAACTGTTGTCTGGAGGGACACTCACTAAGGGAACATAAAGGAGACACGTGATTAGCTTCTCTGACATCAAGGATCATAAACATTCGGCTCTCAAGATGTTGTTAGATTGCAATTCTCATCATTCCTGCCAGTATATCTAAGGGGCAGGAATGATGAAAGTTGCAACCCAACAATAACTGGAAGGCCGTACAATCTCCAACATTGCTGACAGCAACTGCCATCATGCACCTCTATCCACCCACAAAATTCCATTTAATTCTAAGGAATCTTCACTATATTTTTGGACTTGGAAGGGAATTCCATTTGTTTTCTCATGAGTCAGACTCCAGACTCCTTAGGTCCATCTTACAAATGACCATGCATGTTCAGCCATATAATGAACCCAATTAAATCGTTTTACACATACTATATCCCATATTACATTGTCAGTCCACCATTTTCATAAAAGGGAAAGCGCTGAGCTTTAATTAATGGATACCACCTGTCCAAACACTATTAGGTGATCTGCTTTTTTTAAAAAAAGGTCTCGGCAGAAATATTATCTTTGCTTAAGTCTCACAAATGTTCTCTTCCAGCTAAGAGGGTTTACTACAAAGACCAAAACTGGCGTTGTTTTTCTGTTATCAAGTTACAGTAGCTCAAGTCTCTAAGCACCAGAATCGCCATATAGCTGATCAGTTACAGCTGTTAATTGTGGAGCAGAGGGACCAGCTGACATCTGCTTCTTGCTTAGTTAAATGGTTCACTTCCAGGTCCTAAAAGGATTGCGGTCGCTCTCAAAAGACAATGTCGGAGCCCATCTACCTCTGCCTTCTACACTGCTTGTCTTGTTCTGGTTTGTCCATACAATGCAAATTCAAGTGAACTCACATCTGCCACTGATCGACCCAATTCGTGAGCAATCTTTTCCCATCGACCAGGCGTCCCTCCTGGGAACTTAACCATACTTCTTGTCAGTTGGCTAAGGTCCTCTTCCGTCCATTCAGGTGCCTGTAAAACATTCACAGAACATTTATTACACCAGGAACTAGAAGGAGTGTGTGTCTAAATATGCTTAGCAGACAACCTAAGCAAAGTAATCAAATACTGTAAAGGAGGTTAACTGTCAACACAATGCTTTTATCACTTATTGAATAGTTTTTACTTTCTCTTGTTGCATAAAGTAACAAACGATACAAATTATTGTAAACAGATCATTTTTTTTCAGACAGACATATATTACATTACACAGAGACATGCAAGGTATCTGGAAGGCCAAGTTTATCCATTTACAATGCTCTAGATAGGGGCAGGCAAGTGTGGGTGGGCAGGCACAAAAAGTGGGCCTGTGTGCACACACATACATGCATATATGCAAGGGTTTTTTAAAAGAAACCACCATATAAAAAGACTTAGAATTAGGTGTTACACACCTTGATATACGAATCTTACAAAAGAGTATGTATAATATTTCCCGAAAGGAAGTGAATTTTAGAAACATGAGAAAGATTTAACAAAACAATCCCTTTCCCCCATAATACAATCTAGTACCCTTATTCTGCTTAAGATCCTGCACATTTCGAGAGATGTAAAGGCCTCAGGATAGAGGAGAAAATTTGGGGGGAAATCCTTCCCCTCAGTTTCTCCCCCCAAAAATTCCAAACAAATTTTTTTAAAAAATCACTCTCCTCTCCAGCACAAAATGTACCCACCTCCTTAGTACCTACTGTAGCCTTTGCTTCTCTAGCACTGATACACATTTTTAAATGATTCAACACCTCTCTGACATGTAAAGAATGTGTCACAGTGGTGTTTAATGCATTAAAAACTGATAGGCCAACTAAGTGCTGAGTGTGGGGTACACAAACAAGGGAGGGGTTGGGTCAGTGGTTTTTAGAAAGGCCAGTACATGACTGCCCAGTGCAAACTAACTCCCCGATTCTTCTCCCTTTTACAGCAAATCAAACCCAATCCCCAGCCCCCCACCCAGAGCAAAAGAGCAAAGGCTCCACATAGAGACGCCTGGACATTCAACATGTAAGCAGCTGTTTCCACCTTCCCCTTTCTCTCCAAAAAGGCAGCTGCATCAGGCTTCCTCTGCTGTGCATGGGCAGTAAGCAACAGCTTCCCATTTCTATTTATTTCTAAAAAAGAGCCCCTTTATGACAAATACCTCCCCTAATCACCATTTCCGATAATGAACAGGCAAGCATCAAGCAGTTTGCATTACAGAGCCATCAGCACAGAACAACAGTCAGAGGTGAATGACCCCAGAGACCATCTCCACAGCTACGGCAAAGCTTCTCCCTGACACTAATCCTGCCTGTCATTCTCCCACTGTGCTCTAACCACACTGACGTCTGCCTGCTGCACTGCAAGCTTAAACGGGCCCTTCCTGACTTTTTACTGTCTCCCCCAATCAATGGCTCAAGCGTGCTCTTTTCACTATGTCCAAATGGCAGCTTCACTCATAATCAGAGTGCCTGGCCCCCCATTTAAAGGGCTTTCCCAAAGGCTCTGCCATTTGCATTCATTTGCAAAGCAAACTACTTTTATTCACTTTGTCCTGCTATCAAGAATGTTCCCCGAAGCAGAGAAATTGGCATAAATATACAGCCTGCCGCTTAAGCAACAGTAAATAACAGCCAATAGCGGGAAGGGTTTTTACTAATCATCCAGTTTTGTGCCTGGGTATGTCTTTGCTCATTAAATGCTGAAAATCAGATGTGGATAAATGTTTAAACAATCATAATTCAGCACTGAGATTCAAGGAAAGCTCTGAAAGTTACTTTTTACATGTAAAGCATTTCTGTTCTTCCAGTGTTGGAAGAAACATCTTGTTCTCATGACGGCACTGAAAAAGTGACCTGTTCCATTACTAATGTTCCTGGCTACCTTTTTGTTACTTTACATTCCATTGGGAGAGTTTAGAATTGGTAACAGAATGGCATAAAAGCTGGAACAATTCCTGTCAAAGTTTTTCTACAGTGCCTTAAACATCCTTTAAAAAGACCTTTTGAAAATAATTCAAAAACATGGCTTGTTATTTCAGTGAAGCTGATCATACTATATCAGTGAATAAATTAGACTCTTATTATTGAAAAGGTAACTAGTTACAGGCATTATTACTAAGTTTTGGGTATAAGGGTCCAGGTAGAAGTGAATACACAGAGAGAGAGAGAGAGAGAGAGAGAGAGAGGTGTCTAAATAATGAAAGTACCCTTTCTTTGGGAGGCAGAATACAGACGCATGCATGCACACGCACGCACGCACGCACACATGGACATAAATGGACATACAGTGTAGTAAAGTGCCAGTGTTTTGCCTCAGAAAAGGAAAGGGTGTTTACCTGGAAGTCATAAAATCTTCCATGAGAAATTAGCAAGTTTTACCATCACTTCAAAACCAGCAGTTATTAATAGATGTTTAAGATAAAATTGACTATTCATGTACTATCGTATCACATGAACACTATTAAACAGGATCCCAATACCACGTTTTAGTATGTGTGGTGTGGTGCCTTTATTATGTGTCCTTAATAATCTGCTGTTGTTGCTGCTGCAGCACCAATATACACTGCATCAGAGGTGGTCCATGATGTTGCATTGAACTAAGTTATGTGGCTCTTTGGAACTTAGCCTAAACTGTAGACTGAGGAGTTGACAGGAAGTCTGCCAAATGCTTATTAATATTCAGTGTTTCATCAAATAGAGAAGCATTGTGACAGTGAACTTTAAAATTAGTGTGAGCTACTACTTCCCCGATCATTACACTGCATTATAGTACGCAGCATATTTAGATTGACTAGATTCTTGTTAGTGTTCTTGCAAGGTGTGGAGAATGGCTAATTGCAGCTAATTGCTGAGGTGCTAAGAGATGTCTTGGTCACATGCTTGCTTATTTCCCCAGCTATGGACCCGACTGCAGCACCTTGCTATGGCAAGTTATACAAACACCAACAGGATTCCAGCCAGTGTTAAAAACAGAATCTAGTGGTACTTTCAAAGCTCAGAATCTAAAGAAAGCCACCAGAGTCCCTCAACTATTCCTACATGAACTCGGGGAGTATACCAGTCTTCCTTCTCAGCTGCTATTCATCAGGGAGTGCCTGTGTTGTCCTGGTAGGTCCTCTGATATGCAGAAGTGGTTTCCAGGGACTTCTGAGAAAGCATAATGGATAAAATCTCAATACACATGGCACCTTGGGGACCATGCCAACTGGATTTTCAATCAAATCCCTTCTTAGCAATAAAGTCCACTCCACGGCCTTGTGCAACACTTTACTCTCATACAAACCTTTCATAAAATAATTATCATAATGTCAGATAATATAATGTACTGGCTGCAAATTTAACCTGAATGCCTGAGAGAAACTTCATGCTTACACATACCTACAGATAAATATGCTTCTATATAACCATGAGTTCATTACCCATCAGGCTAGGCCTAATGTCTATTTCCTCTTCTGAGCACTAGAACTTATAAACAACTTTGATCTTTATAGTTAAAGGAAGATTTCAAATACTTCCATTTTTATGTTTGAGATGGGGCATCTTCGACATTTCCAGAAATTCAACATGTCTAGTGAAATTAAAGAATTATATTAAGGCCAACACCATTAAACAGACTTCTATGTGCTGCAAATAGATCAACCACAAGGTTAACACAAATCAAAAAAGTTCCCCTCACAATGGCATGTCAAAGCACAGATTCCAATGGCAGATGGAGGCCCATGTTTACCAGAATGCCACAAAAAGCATTCTTAAAGCCCTTCTACCCACACGTACAGCTGTTTGTGATCTAACATAAATATCTAATTACTGCTTACATAAGTTATTAGTAATGAATCTTTAAAATATCTGCTAGCATTCATTCTCAAGTAAGCACACCAAACTTCATAATGTTTTAATTTGCATATATCATTAAATGTGAACATACTTTTCCACAGATCACTTTAAACCAATTTCTGTCCAAAGATACTGGGATTCTTTGTGAAAAAAAAAAGAATGCTAATCATTTATTTCAACTATTTTAAAAATCAATCCTCCACACTTCTGGAAAGGTTTTTGAACAAGACTTCTGTGCAATTTTTAGAAGGCTTAGTGAACGTACAACTCCTCTGCAATTCTTAATTGTATCTTTAGATGCAGCAGAACCCTCCTGTGATTGAACAGCTACAAGCAGCTAAGAGGGTGGGCACAGTGTGAATTTATTCACCCTGTTCTACTCCAGAGCCAACTATAACCATTAAGATGAATGTGCAAGCATAAGCCTCTGTCACTTAAAACCATGTTTGTCCAATATTATTGAAATACTGGGCCAAAACCCATCTCTACAGTAGAGAAACAGAAGATACCACATGGTGAGGGGACAGCTGTTGTGTCTATACAAGCATTCAGATTTTGCATCAGAAAAACTCTGCTTTGGGATTAACTCTCCAAACGGAACACTATACAATAATAATATAAAAAACTAACAGAGGAATGAGGCACTATTTTTAAACAAGAAAATTAAAACAGATTACTTCACAGCTATAGATATTTATACTGTGTAGTCAAATAAAGTTTTAAATATATTTCTCCATAATATTTCAAGTAGAGAACAACATTTATTAGTTAATTGTGTTAACTGTTCTTTTAAACACATCTGTAATCTGTCTGTTTTTTTGTTGTTGTTGTTGTTGTACTTACTATAATAATGTAATAGTATAGAACTGCCCAGAGTGGTCTTGGTAGCCAGATAGGCAGTGTGCAAATCAAATCAAATCAAATCAATCAATCAATCTTCCATAGTTCTAAAAATTTACACTGTGGCTGAAGCCCACTTCCATAAGCTATGCCACATAAAAACTGATGATGTTATAAGCTGTGGTGGTTTTTCCAGAAATAAAACATTTTTATCTCTCTCCCCAAAAGTGTTGAGGTTTCTCATTGAATCCCTTTCATCTTGGGAAGCTGTTGGAGTCCGTAAGGACAAGACTGAAAATTGCCAAGATCAAGCAGCAGCAATCT